CCTGGAACTCCGCCAGTTCGGCTTCTAACTGTTCATATTGCGCCTTGTAATAAGCGAGCTGATCAGACCGCGAGCTGGTCCCGTTGGGGCGGGCGGACGAAGAAGCGTCGGCCGATGGCATGATTGCGGCACCAGCAGACGAAACCGGCGATCGGAACGCACGCTCCAGGGGACCACGTCAGAGAGACCCCGGGAGAAGGGGGGGAGATTTATAGAATGGTTTGGATGGGAGAAGGGGAGGCCAGGGTCGAGAGCATGAACACGCGGGCAGTCACAACAACCGTGCGTGAACTGGTGGTGATGGCGGAGGGGCCGAGGCGGTGTCGCAGGCAGCCGGGAACGCTTGCGACGGTGAGAAGGCGTGGACGCCAGGAAGGAGACAGGACGAGGCGGGCGAGTAGAAAGGACCAGATCGCTGAACGAATACCAAGACCAGAATGGTCTTAGCAAATTGACTTACCTTGATTGAATCCCTCACAGAGGGAAAGGGATAGGGGAAGGAGGGAGGGGAGAGGAGGGGAGGGGGAGGAAGGGAGAATGTTTTGAGGGGAGAGTAGTTGGGTAGATGGATGGTGATGCTATCCAGAGCGGACGGGACGGGCGCAAGATCCAATCAGCCAATGGCGGCAGTGGCACGGGGTCTGGCTGTCAACAACCGCCTTTACCGGTCGTGACGGGTTACCGTAACTTACGCCCGAGTCCCCCGTGGTCTCGCGGCCTGAGGTTGCCGATCATCAACAGTCCAGAATAACATCCTCTGCCTGGGCAACAACAGTCAGATGCCATCCATCTATCTATCTATTCATCATATGCTACTAGCTACTGGATAGATTCTATCACTCTGCATTTGATTTGCTATTCCGCATTCCCTAGATGCTTATCCAGACCACGTAAGTACTTCCCTTTCTGCCTGAACCATGGAACTGAACTCTATATTCTATACTAGTTCCCTCATTTCTTGGAGCGTCAACATATGATCCCGACTCACTAGTGCGCTTCCATTCAGATGACCACCCCAGCCAGGTGAGGTCTACTAGTAGTAGACTATCTCTCTGGTGTCACCCCACGATTGGTCTGTTGTCTGGTCGGCCGCCAGTGAACATTGCGCACCAATCAGATGGCCCTCAGGCATCCCAAGAGCATTCTCGGATCTGATAGGACTGCTGGCGGCCATTGAACGGTCGCAGTCGCGGTTGCGATTATAACCTGCTATAAGACCTACTGTATTATACCCGAAACATTCTTCCTCATTTGAAGGTTGTATCGCAGCGCTGTTGCCTTCAAACATCGCCACGGTCTAGCGAAAAGAAGACCGTCCACATAGATGCTGCAAGACCTTAAGTCCACCCAAAGGCTTGAATTCCAGCTCTCATATACATACTTCGCTCTCGACACTGGCCCTCCAACACGAATACCAGAACGTGGAGCTCGCGTCCGTAAGCGTTTGTGGGTGACGATCCTTATGATATCCGCAGAATAACATTCTTCTGTATATCATTCTGCTGAACCCAGATCTAGGTCGTGACAACGACTACTTCGGTCTCTTATTTCTTATACTAAAAGATGATAGTATTTGGTACTAATGAACAACCTATTACGTATTGAGGTATGTCTCAGAATGCTCGTCCAAATTTAGAATTCATAGATAAAGCTCAAGTCCTTGACCTAAACCCGTGGGAAAAAGAATGAAATATGGAGAACCAGCTGAATACCTGAATCATCAGCCAAATATCCTGCTTTAAATTGTGATATCATTTCCCTGGGCGTTGTCAATTGCGAGAATCAACTTCTCAAAAATCGTAACATCCTCCTGACCTTGAGGGTGAATACAGCCCGGTACCTCAGCCATACAGTATGTTTTCATCTGCTTCCCGTAATAATCGATTTTGATACATAGAGATCATCCCATCTGAAACAAGGGTCTCAGAATTGCCTTATGTGATGCCTCCGAATATTTAAAATGAAGAACATAAACGCATATAATGACCATGCTATCTCAGCACGACTGATTTCCTAGTACTTGAGGAACCTTGAAGCAGCAATTCCCGGAGATAAGCTAAACTTGCATCGTAACGATATTTCAGATGACAGCAGATCCCCTGGAATAAGCAATTCTAGTAGCTTATCTTTGGTTGGTATCGCCAAGATTCATCGTGTGATGAAATAGTTATGTCCTAATACTCATCGACTCACCGAACCCTGCGTACTTAGTCCTTGCTTTACCCAAGAAACGAGCCATCAAAGAGACGAGATTTCAGCATCTTTTGTTGTTCTCCATGGCGGATTCCCCACGTGCTGGGCATGAGCTACCACTTCACTGGCAAGTCATGTTGCTTTGACATTGACTTGGGATTGCCAGTCGTCAAGTGAGTTGTAGATCATTCAATATTTATGACTGAAGTGTGGTAGCTACCAAGGCTCTAGTGAAGATGGCTTAGCTTGCTGAGATATCAAAAGAGGATAAACTCTAGAGAGATCTGCGCACTCGACACTTAGACAGGACTGTCCCTATCAATATTACATGAAAAAAGTACATAAGGCAGAAGACTGGAGATGACCTGGACGATGGGTAGCAGGCTGGCTTCGCTGAGACTTCAGATCGGTAAGCTTTGTGTATTGAATTGGACTCATCAAAGCTACTATAGCGTCGATAGATGCTGAGAGTACCCATTGTGGATGGATTGCACGGTATCGTTCATTTTTGGTTGAGTACTTGATTGAATTGTTGGAGGCTACAAAGAGTTATAGGTATGGGGGAATGAGAAAGTATCTTTAGCAATGTTTGGTGATTGTAGTGTGGCTTCTGAAGAGTGTGATAGTCAACAGTATTATCAACAGTACATTGTGACACTTGGTGACAACCCTCCAGCTTCTGACCTCGATGAAAATGCATCTCCCTCACATGAATATAGGCCATTGCACATTCTGTAGATGGAGAGTGAAGTCGTGAACTGACTAGCCCTTGTGCTTGAACCACCACACCAACTGACCGCACAACACAGTGCACTGTGAGCACCCCGGCGGGTCTGCTGGGACAGTTTTGCTTTCTTCTGACTCGCTGGGACAACCTTGAGCCATGACTGGCACAGTGAGAGTCCATTCACTGCTTCTGTTATGATCTTAAAGCAACACGTGGCCCACCACTTCCCCCCGAAGACATCTCTCTGACGCTAACGCTTCTTGGTTAGTCGCTTCTTATACCCTCAGTTATCATAGTAACTAGGCTATCACGAGAGCTCATTTGAAGGTTTCGATCGGTATTAGTGTCGCTTGGTTGAACATTCTCTGTGTCTCGAATCTTGAGATCTGGTCGAAGCAGACTAGTTGACAAGATGCCAGCCATCGACAACGCTGAGGTGGAGAGACGTATTGCTGACGCCCTGCAAGAGGCCAAAGACGCTTTCCTGCGTCTGCCTGAAGGTCTGATACCTCCCATACATCTCGTATCATTCTGCTCACATACCACCAGCCCAGAACGATGCCGCAAGGCGGGAGGCCACCAGCAAGCTGAAAATAACCAAGTTCGACAAGCAAGTTGCTACCGTACTTGACGTTGTTAGACCCCTTGAGTGGAAACTTGAGAATGGCCAACCCGTCGAAAGATGTATCAAAGACAGAGAGGCTGTCACCGCGGCTTTACTGTACCGTCGAGGAGAGGAGGTTGAGCGATGTGACAGGTGCCAGACCCTCGGCCCCTTTGCTAAATGCATCACTTCGCCTAGCCTTGGTGGCCGAGCCCTGCACCGGGCGGCCTGTGCGAATTGCATATTTTATCACCAGGGCACGTATTGCCCCCACAGATTGAAGTTCGAGAAGTCAAAGGGTGAGATGTGGGCCGAGAGTGATACACAGTAAGTCGTCCGACACCAATGTGGGATTTTGGCTAACAGCGGATGTTCCAGGCTTGTTCTTCCGAACGGTGGCTTGCGACAGACCCTGGCGCTGACTGGTGAAGACGGATTCGATTTTTTGCGCGTAAATGATGAAGATTCAACATCAAAGGCCCAGGAATTGGGCGAATCAAGTGCTCCCAATAACTCAGCACATCAATCGGAAGAATCTGCGCCCGCTGGCATCACTCCGTCGTCTGAAGAGCAGGGTAACCTGCCAACGGGCGCCAACAACAGCAACAACAGCAACGACAACGAAGATGAGGCCAGAGTTGACCCCTCAGCTATGACCTCGTTGGTCGACCCCTCTGCTAACGAGGTCATGGCTGTGGGGTCAACTCTGGCAGACGACATGGTCACCATGCCACAGTCGTCCGCCACGCAACTTGACCAGTACCTGTGGCCATACCCCCCCGCCGACACGTTGGCAGGGGGGCTAAGCTATCAGTTCTTCTCCTCGCAAGATTTGCCGGACGATGACAGCTACATCTTGCCACAGTTGTCCGCCACGCAGGTCGAAGAGGAGCTCTGCCCATACCCTCTCGCCGGCGATTGCTTTCTGGCTCAGGTACCCGAGCACGCTGAGTACAGCATCGAACACGAGCCCCAGAAGAACAAGCAGGAATAAGCTTGTTCTTCTGAGGCTCGTGTTCGGTTGCTGTTTTGAGTTTTTTTCATTTCATCTTTGTTTTCTGTTTTGTTTTCTTTCTTCTTTGCCTTTCTTTTATCTGACTCGAACGTTAGCATGTCCTTATGTCCTTGATGATGCAGAGTGTTTCTTTTTATACCTGAATTTGATGGAAGACAGAGCCACCACTGAGCTTTTATGGGATGGCAAGTGATGGGGCGTGATGGAGAGAAGAATCTCAGCTGGAGAGGATAAGAAGAGCCATCGAAGTGTGAAGTGAAGAGGAATGAGTGTTGCGAACAGTGAAGAGGCAGACGCGCTTTTAAGACTACAGCCGAAGAGCTGCGGGCACGGGCCACAATCACGTGATGATTTGTGAACACACACGGCAGCGACTCACTCACTCACTTTCTCCTGCCACGCCGTTCTGTCCTCCCGGAGCCGTGCTCCTGCTGATTGCTTTCGCCCTGTTGAGACCTTTTCACTACCCGAGCTCGAAGAAACTGCTTTCGGCAAGTCTTGCTCCCGCGTGTGACATTCCTCTCGTATGTGTTTCTTCTCTTTTATGACCCTCACGACCCCAGTGTTCTGGCTTGAGATCCCGCCACAACCCGGGGCCCCCAAGGCATACACCAGTCGTGACGCTATATCCACGCACACATTGAATCCCGGTTCCCGTCCCTGTCTTAAGAAGGTGCTTCCACGCACTCGCTGGGGCCCCCCCAATTTCCACATGGACACGATGACCTCCTGTTCTTGATTTTATTTTTCCTGCTCGCGCTATCCTCTGTCCCAATGAGAGTCATGGATCTCTGTCTGATGACGCTGATGTGTCCTGTCAGACCCTCTCTTCCCCACCATCTGTCACCATGGCGGATCCTACCGATCTGAACCTGGATGCCCCCAGTGACTTACAGGATATTCCGGACATGTCTATGCAACTACTTCCCCCGCCAGAGGGGACATATCCTGATAAGTGAGTTTGGCCCCGTTCACTCCCTCTCCTCCTTTCCCACCCTCTCTGTGCCCCTTGCCACACGTCGGGTAGCGGATCGGTCCGCTGTGGCTCCATAGTGGATCTGATAACTCACATCGTGGTGATTTTCCTCAAAGGGCGACGCTTCTCGCAGCAGTGCAGGCACACGGAAAAGCTCATGGGTACAACGTCGTAGTCAAGTCGTCCAGCACTCCCACGGAAAAGAAACCGGGGCGGACTGCCAAGGTCTGGTTGCGATGCGATCGCGGGGGCCACTATCGCCCGCGCAACGGGCTCACTGAGGAGACTAGGAAGCGGCGGCGCACATCCCGGTTGATGGATTGCCCGTTCATGCTAGTTGCAGCTGGAACTCCTGGCATTTGGACGCTGACTGTCCTGAACGCCACACACAACCACGGCCCGATTGTCGAAAAGCCTCGGCAGGTCCCTCATCACAAGGTCCGTAAGGGCCAGATCGCAGCGGTACCGTACGATTGGCCGCACGATGCGACGCTGACCCCCTATACGACGGCGTTAGTAATTATTGACATGCAAAAGGACTGTGCGTATGATTCCATGTGGTCGTGTGGGTCCTGGCTCAGCTTTTTACTAATGGGATGCCAACGCAGTCTGTTTGCCGGGTGGATACATGAGCCTTCAGGGCTACGACATATCGGCTAATCAGGCACTAATTCCTAAACTACAACATCTGCTGAATGCATTCCGTTCATCCGGTTTTCCCATATACCACACTCGGGAAGGTAGGAGAAAGTCTCGACATTCCCTCTCTTTTCCTATCGATTACTGACGTCGTCCAGGACATCGGCCCGATTTGTCGACGCTGTCTAGTAGAGAGGCCTACCGTTCACAAAACAATGCTTCTGGCATGGGGATTGGATCTCCCGGACCCCTAGGCCGTCTGCTGATACGTGGCGAGGTGGGTCACGACACCGTTGACGAATTGTACCCAGTCCACGGGGAACCGGTAATCGACAAGCCAGGGCGGAGCGCGTTTGCACATACCGACTTCGAACTCATCCTCCGCAATCGCGGCATCAAGAACCTGGTGTTAGTAGGTGTAACGACCGATGTGTGCGTTGCGACGACTATGCGCGAGGCCAACGACCGGGGCTTTGACTGCGTGGTGCTGGAAGACGGAACTGCGGCCAGTGAGCCGTCCCTTCATGTGAGTGCCATTGAGTCAATTAAGATGGAGGGTGGTATCTTCGGGGCAGTAGCCAGACTAGAGGACGTGATGCATGCAGTGGAGAACTTTAAAGCCGTGACTGTGAAGAAGCTGGCTCCGCAGATGACGGTATGATAGGTGTCGTGGAGATGGTCCAACTTTTGCCTTTTTTTTCTTTTACCTCTTTGCTACTCCTCGCCCACAGAGGCTTCTGACTTTATCGGGATCAACTCTGGGATATCATTCAGCGCTGTCAACATTGGAGGAACGTTCTGCCACCGGGATAGAGAAGTCATCATCAGGACGGACAAGGACAAGAAATAGTAACGAAGCTATGAATACGATTTATGGACATGCATACATTGAATAGAATCTGGTATCTTCCAAACACCATGTAGAGAGAGCAGTAACCACTAAACGCCTCAACCCAACCAAGACCAACCCATAAACAACAAATCAACAGCAACAACAACAAAAACATCTCAACCCTATAACCACTTCCTCCCCGCAGCCGTAACCCTCCCCCTAAACACGGGACTCTTAATCTCCATCCCCTGCCTATAAAACGGACTCATCACCGTCTTCACATAATTCTCATACACCTCAGTCATAAACTGCCGCACCGCCTCCTCCGTCTGCGGCGACGTCGGATTATTAGCTATCGAGCTCGCCGACGCGCGCGACGACCCGCCCGCAGACCCCAACAACAACGACCCGGACATCGACCCGCCCATCGAACCACTCCCACCGGCGCCCTGACCGCTATTCGACGCTAATTGAGGCGGCTGATGCAGAAGAAGGAACCTTGCCCCGGAGGGGGTCAAGAACGCGGAGATGTATGCTGATGCGGGGGGGTAGGTGTCGATGTGTTTTAAGTACCTGCCAGACATCAATCATCATCATTAGCATGCACTTCAATTCCACACATAGTTAGTAGATATAAAGGGAGGAAGAAGGAAACATACATATTCCCATTCATCCACTGCGCCTCCTCAACAATATCCAAACTCGAATGGATAATAAACTGGTTCATGTACTGCGCTGTATCCGGGAATCGGAAACGGGCGATCCCGTCGCCCCCGGACTTGGATGTGCCGAAGGCGATGTTGAACAAGGGGACGTCCGTCGGGGAGAGGATTGTGAAGTAGTAGGACATTTTTGTTTTGCCTGATTCTTGGGTTCTTGGGGTTGTTGTCCTGTGGTGGTGTTGCGGGCCACTAGTTAACTACGGTATTTACTTGTGGCTTTCGGGGAATCGGAGATGAGATGGGGGCCAGGGGAGCAAGTAATGTGTCACGTGTGATAAGATAAGAAAATCAATTTCGGGAAGGTTAAGGGAAGGGTAGGTAGGGGTCCACGTGACGTGCATCATGGGTTTCTACTAGCTTCATCTTCATCTTCCTCACCTCGTCTTCTTAAGGTCTACGGAATATATACAAATATATACCTATCAACTCGGCTAAGGAAAACAAAGGGATAATATGCCTCCCCCAAAGCTAGGCTTCGGCCTCAACCCCCCCTCCAAACCCATCTCTCGACCTAACCCCCCCGCGCCGAAACGCAAGAAACCTATCTTCGGCGACGACTCCGACGACGATGAATCCCAACCTACTACCAGTGTCAAGAAAGGCCCCAGCAGCGGCAATGGCGGCGACAGCAGTGCAATTGAAATTACGACGATAGGCGGCCTTGACGATCTCACTCCTACCGAACACCAAGAAGAGGAAGCTCGCCCCGCGAAACGCAAGCTCCTCGCTCCCGGCGCATCATCATCATCATCATTATCCGGCGCACCCAAACCACCGAACATGAAACCGCTCAACAAGAGCTCCATATTCGCGGACGCCTCCGACGAAGAAGGAGAAGAAGAAGCAACAAACACCCCCACCTATGGCCTCAACCCCTCCACCAGCAGCAAACCCAAACCCAAGTCCAAAGACATCGACACCACAAAACCCTACACCAACCTATCCGCCCTCCACAGCAGCCGAAAACATGCCGCGGAAGCCTCCGAACTCGACCCAACAATCTACTCCTACGACGCGGTCTACGACAGCCTACACGCGAAACCCAACAAGGACAAAAAGGCCTCAGACGGCAGCGAGAGCGGCTCGACCGTGCCGAAATACATGACGTCGTTGCTGCGCAGCGCGGAGATCCGCAAACGGGATCAAATGCGAGCGCGGGATCGTCTGCTCGCGAAGGAGCGCGAAGCGGAGGGCGACGAGTTCGCAGACAAGGAGAAGTTCGTGACGGCGGCGTATAAGGCGCAACAGGAGGAGTTGCGGCGGGTGCAGGCGGAGGAAGAGGCGCGGGAGAAAGAGGAGGAGGAGAGACGGAAGAAGAATGGGGGGTCTGGGATGGTGGACTTTTATCGGGATATGTTGTCGCGTGGGGAGGAGAGGCATGAGGCTGTTGTGAAGGCGGCGGAGGAGGCGGCGAAGAAGGTGAAGGAGGGTGGTGTGGGTGAGGAGGAGAAGGAGGAGGGAGAGAAGAAGGAAAAGAGTGAGGCGCAGATGGCGGAGGAGTTGAATGCCAAGGGGGCGCATATTGCGGTTAATGATGAGGGTCAGGTGGTGGATAAGAGGCAGTTGTTGTCGGCGGGGTTGAATGTTGCGCCGAAGCCGAAGCAGACGCAGAAGGAGAAGGATGCGGCAGCTGCGGCGGCGTCGAGGGCTGCGGTACAGGCTTCGAGGTTTGGGGCGCAGAAGCAGGCCGAACGTGGTGGACAGCGTGCGCGCCAGACGGAGATGATTGCGTCGCAGTTGGAGGAGCGGGCGAGACAGGAGGAGGAGGCCGAGGCGGCGCGGCAGAAGGAGATTGCGGAGCGGAGTCGCAGTCGCAAGACGGAGGGGGATGTCATGAGTGCGAAGGAGAGGTATTTGGCCAGAAAGAGGGAGCGCGAGGCTGCTGCGAAGAAGGCGTGATTGTCTACTTTGTGAATGGCAGATTGCATATAGCTGGCATTGGGTATGGATCCTGTATAGTGTATGATATAATGAATGATTGGCGGTTATAATGGAATGGTATGATTCCGACTTCGGGTACTTAAATGGTAGTGGCAATATCTCTCTCTGTATTACGGGGCGAACCGGCAAGTGGACTAGTAGTGAGACATATATTTGGTTTTTCGTTACTCGTTCCTAATCATAAACTTAACGCCGGAAATGCTAAGTGTTCTAGTATAAGAATGCGCTGCATCTTGAAATACTTTTTACCACCAACGCCGTTTAGTATGACTATGCGGTCAGGGCGAAACTGAGCCCCATCAGAACCATTCCTCCAATAGCGAACCCAGTGCACATTCCTCGATTGTGAGTTAAGGTAAGGCCTTCGCTGAACAGCTGCAGAGCAACTGAGATCATGACGCCCGCCGTCGCGGCAAACATACCGCCGTAGACACCCCAGGACGGGCCAGCGGCGTCGTCGCCATTAGCACGTCGAGCACCCCATATCCAGAGAGCTGCCAGCGCCGCGCCTGCAGGTTGGCTGATGCCACCTAGCAAGCTTGACCAGAACATGGCCCAGCCGCGCGAATGCAGCGCGAGATACAGTGGTAAGGCCATGGCGAACCCTTCGCTGATGTTGTGGATGAAAAGAGCCAAGAAAACCGTGAGACCTAAAGTCGGGCTCGCATGGTTCGTTGCATAGGTGATAAACCCCTCCGGCAACTTGTGCAGCGCAATCGCTATCGAAGTCTGCAGACCAATGGAGAGAAAGGCGTTCTGTGGCACATGGTGATGGTGTTGGGGATTGGGTGGCGGCTTAGTCCCGTCTTCAGGCGCCATATCCTGGTCGTCAAGAAGCCCGGTCCGGGAAGAAGAGGAACTCGCCTCTTGACGTCGGATTTGCGAGGATGGCAGGTTTGCCTCCAGATCATCTAGTCGTGCCGAGTCGACTTGCACGGATATACTGTGGGGGTGCGGCAGCGGCGGGCGCACGGTGCCGTCATCCAGGACAGAGATTTCTGGTCCCTCGAGAGTCTTAGTGCATTCGTGCCCGCACGCCTGCGAGAAGCCAAAACAAGGACCATTCTCATCGCAATGTGATTTGACTCCGCCAACCAGACGACTAATGCGTCGTGTCAAGCGGATATGCAGGGATTCCCTTCGCACAAGTGCGCCTGGGTCTTCGCCAGCAGCGGGGACGGTCACAGTGGCCGGGGAAGACTTATGAGTCAAAAGAGGAGTTCGCTCATTCAGATGGTTAGGGCCGTGGGAGTGCGAATGACCGTCTGGCTTGCCCCCGTGTCCATGATCAGAGGTGGGGTGTGGCTCATGGGTATGAGCACAGTCGACGACATGTGACGGTATGTAGCGATGCAATAGTGCCGATGCCAAACGGATGATGACCGCGCCCGCCAGAAAGAGGCCGATAAGCACGTATGCAGCAAGCGAAGGGGACAAGCCAGCTCGAGTCAGGTACCGATGAGAAGTAGGCAGCATGCTATAGAGAGAAGTGTAAAGCTAGCACGGTCAGTATGGTACCAAAGTTAGGGTCAACTAGTCAAAAGAGAAATACCATGACGCCCGCGCTCAGACTCAGTGACGCAGATAAGAAGCCATTGTTATGGACGATCTGGAAGCTTTTGCGGCGAGACAATCGCCGTAAAACAAGATCCACACAAATGACGGCCGATCCCAAGACACAGGCTGGATTATGTTAGCTAGCGAAACTTAAGTACTATACAGAGAAAGACTTACCCACGCCTGATACGGCGCTCATGACCCAGCCCCGTAGGTCATTGCTGGCAGCCATGATGAATAGAAGGCGAGAATGCCAGCAATTAATGCCAGCGAAAAGATACTGACGGGGAAGAAAGAACGAGACTTTTCAAAGGGGAAAGGAAAGAGAGTTTGGGGGAGTCTTGGATTTCATGATATCATGTCACGCGGCGGGCGATTAGATAACCTGGGGACCTTGCGGGCAACAACGCTGCTTTGATCCAAACAGCGGCTTTGTTCCTCTTGAACTTCTTTCTTTTTCTCCCCTTGCCTGCAGCCAACGAATCGCCCTTTCACTGCGTCTCTGCAGCGCCGTTGGGGAGGTTCATCGAGGAGCCACTCGGGCGAGGTTTAAACTACCAAGTTTTAAAGAAGATGATAATACGCTGCTCGGAGCCCCGTCCCCCTCCCGAGCCCCTTGTACAACTCATCGCGCCTCCAACGCTCCTGTCCGCTAGTCGCCCTACCACCAGACTCCAAGGTCCCCAGGCTAATTTCTCATCGGGCCATGAGCTGCAGCAACGCTATGGGTTAGGGCGAGTCACGTAGCAGTATGTCTAAACTTACGATATATTGCCAGGGCCAGGGCCAGGCAACAGCCCTGAATGGCTCGGAGTCCGTGACAAGCGTATAGTAGTATGTACGTCCTCCCTGGAAGTGAGCCCATGCATGCGACGCGCAACATGGTTGGCGGTATGGGAGCTCCAATTCTTGTGCTAGAGCGGAAGGCGTAAAGTAGACTTTACCTTACGGTCCTGCTGATGAAAGTTGTAATGTAGTGTAGACTGCCAGCTATCGAGATCTAGACTTCTACTAGACGTCTGATTTGCCTAGGAGGCTGAGTTCCATCATTTGAAACTGCTAGCAAATTGCTGCGGAAGGCATCTCTCCTTGTGCAAGCGAATCATCTTCTCTGGAGGCATACGTCCGCTTTGCAGTAAAAATGCATGATCCAAAAGCCGGGGTGCTGTTCACGTTATATGCCACAGGCGTACCTAATCATGCGTTCTAGCGAAAGAAACGTAGTATCAAGAGATTGTGACACCCTTGGACCTTAATCAGACACGTTCGACCCTAAACCAGCCTGACGGTAACCTTAGTTGAATGTTCCATTCCCAAGGAGAAGCGCATTCTCAGAAAAGCTAGATAACATGGCGGCGAGGGCAAGTATTTCGGCGTTGCCGGTTGCATTAGCGTGGGACTATGGGGCGTAAGAGGATCTGAGGGCCGCATGAATGGTCGGCGCGAGTTAGCCTAAGATTTTAGTTGATCGTCAGTCACCAGTAGCACTCCAGATTCCAAGAATGACTGCCATACCTCATCCTTCCCAGTGGTTAATGCCTCTGCGTAGTTTTCATAAGCCAAGGCTCTAGGAAGCATTTATACTTCTCCTTCTTGGTACATGTCAGACCCCAAATCTTGAATCGGAACCCGAAGTACCGTCCATTTGACTCTAAATGACGGAGTCGTGGAGAAGTAGAAGAGTGTCATTCTTGCCCTGGGTAGTCATCTGTGTATAGCCTGTCAAACCAGGCGAGGCAATTCTTGACAAGAGAAGAATATTCATGCTCGCTATCTTTCAGATTGCCAATTGTGTATGACTGACGCAGTGGCTCTCCGGTCCATGGCTCTCCTGCAGACTGATCTCCCCTGCACAGTTATCAGATAAGCCTGTACTTGCTGCCACTATTCGGAGAATATAGAAGTGGTACAAATGCAACCGCATTAAAGATCAAACACCTGTTGACAAATCATGAAGTAATTGTCGGAGAAAAGTCAGTAGTCAGGAGAGAAGGAGAAAGCTAAGACGAGCCAAGTTGATATAACAACGTGGAATATGCTCCGAGCAGTGCAACCACGCAAGCCACGGTGTCCAGAGACATTGTCGCACCAGCCAAACCAGCCATGAATAAAGTGCAACGTGAAAGGCACCCAAAGTCTATCCCTCGGCGTCGAGTGACGTACAGGGGGTTTCCGTCACATGATGGCAGGCAACCAGCACTAGAAAAGCATTAATTCGATTTGATCGAAAACGCTTCCCCTCTCAACTTGGGCTACACAAGCATCTGGATCAATCCCTCACAATCGTCATTTTGCTAGCAAGAAAGTCTCCTCATCTCCAATATAAAAGCACCCTCAATCGCCGCCCCCACACCGACTCGAGGATTGTTTGCATCTCCATCCTCTTCTCTCTCTATCATTTCTATTCCTAAGCAGGTACGCTCCAAAGCACAACATCAAGCAATCATGTCTCCCATCCAATCCTTTGGTAAACTTCTGGTTCTGATTCTCGTCTCTTCAAGCTCCGCCATGTCTCTCACTCGCTACACCGCACCCATCCCCCAGGGGGCGAAGGTGGTCGAGACGCGTGAGCAACTCAACCAAGTAGTCCGGGAAAATCCCGAGACTGTCCTGTACGATCAGGATGGTGGCTACATGTTGAAAGATGACAGCGGAACCGTGGTTGCTATAGCTGCAGACTCTCTGTGTCCCGAGTTGGACCAGGCCTTGGCTGAAGTCGAGGCCCTGCAAGCAGAGGCGAAGCTGGCTGGCAATGCCGGAGACCAAGGTGATACCACCAGCAAGAAAAGAGACGTTAATGATGTTCAGGACACTAATCGTCCACTTCGTTGTTCTCACCCTAGATGCTTCAATTCCGCCATCTGCCTGACCTATACCGATTGTCATGTCTGTTTGCGACAGCACCACTGTATCTGAGGTGGTTGATACTTTACACGGTGGGGTTTGGAGGGGTGGGAGGAGCTTGAGATAAGGAGGAATTGCGAAGAATGGGATTGATGGATGTGCTATAGTGGACTATTTGGATGAAGGAGGGGCGATGTATGAATGCATATGCAGACTGGGGCAGAAATCAGTGTCAATGGCTTGCTTCTTAGCAGTGGCCTGCCGATAATGTGATGCACTTTGATCTTCTTGCAATATGCGCGTAGCGTTGTAGTGATGTAAGAACATAGAAGGGATTGCCAGGTTGTCAATGCATAGCCAAGAGCGTAGATCATTACTACACCTGAGAGACGCAAGTCAACCTCAGCATGTCTTCTATATTAGCTACAAGAACAAGTATGCGCACCGCATATACATGAAGACAACCTTAAAGCCTGCTAAATACAAGCGACGGAAAATGAACATGATCGTGCCTACAGCCAGGTCACCGATAGCCCGCCCGTCGTAATGACCATACAATATCCCATGATAGCACTATGTACAAGAAAGACGCATCAAAAAGTTAAGAGAATGAGTTGGACTGCTCTCAGCAAGACATCTTGGATTTCAATTTTCGTTCTTCATATTTCCGTCTTCAGCAAGATAAATTCCAAAACCTCGCCTCAACCCTGAGAATCTCAAGGAATCCCCATGTGCAATAGCTCCTCCCAAAGCTTGTTGAAGTCGTCCCAGGTCAGATTCGAGGCTTCCTCGGGGGTAGTCCTTGCATAGACGATGTGCGCGTAGTTAGCACCTTCCGAGTTTCGCTTTGAGAGTCGCGAAAGCAGAATGCAAGTAGCCTGAAGAGGCGAGATGAACGTTGGATCCAGCTCGTTGCACGATGAAATAATTCTTGCCAACAACTCAACGTCATCCTTGTATAAAACATGGGGAGCGCTTTGGCTAAAGTCCATCAGACCCCTGTACCGTATCACCAAATTTTTAGCAATGGGAGTCGAGGCGATTTTGAGGCATGTCTCTAATAGGACGTCGGCGTATTTCGTGGCCTGCGGCGTAAAGCGAGGATCGAAGATATACCCCTTTGGTATGTTGTGAAGTATGTAGATTTTGACGCAATCTGATAGATATTTCCAGTTCTCCCAGGTGGAGGAATCGTCCTTAGGAGGATAAGGGAGTTTAAGATTGACAAGGTCTTGTAAATGCCATTTCTTGAGCTTTTCCCTGACTTGAACGTACCACTGATGCACACTGTCCATGGTCAGGTCAAAGTCGATTTTATCTGCTAGTATTTCGTCTTCTGACGTGCTGATTTTCCGGACGATTTCCCCATTGATGCGGCGTGCCTGTGTATATTCCATGATTATGGGATGAAGAAGGATGGTGCAAATCACAGACTGTGAGAGAAAAGAGTAAATGGATGATAGATGCCATATTCTGGGAAATTAAGTTGATTAGAATGCATAGCCTCAACTAGTAGAACGGGTTGATTCAATGCTCACTACTAGGCTGCTCGGGAATTGCCTGTTTAGAGTTGGGATGCTTCTAGATTGACTGCAGGGAATCTCCTGTCCTTCACCGAGCCTTTGCCAGTGACCTTATAGCTGCAGGGAATGCAATGTGGAGTCCGGGGCATTTCATCATGGTCAGTAGGTCATCTGCACACGGTGATCATCCGACCAGCGTGGCATCGAAGCTGGCATAGCATATAAAGAAGTCTCGAAGCAGCTATCAGGGAATTTCCGGTCATTTCCTTTCAATATCTTAGCCCATACACAGTCACCAGTGGCAGTTGCACTCCTCCAGACAAGTGAAGACCAAAACTTACCAGTGACACGGTGTTTGTAGATTACCCTTTTGGGATCGTTCAGGCTATACTTCCCGATCATCTGATTGCCGCCCGCTGATTGGTCTCCGCTTCAGCATCAATTTTACTCTCTTCGGCAATCCACTTTTTTCTCCGTCCCGATTCTATCCATCCATCTCTTTCATCCTTATCCTTCCTCTCCTCTCCTCCTCCCCTTGGACATCCTCCCTCCCTCCATCACCGCCAACCATGTCCAAGGCCACCTTCGCGGCCATCGCCGCCGCCAGTGCCGCCACGGGCGCCGGTCTGACGGCTCTCTTCTACTCTCCTCGACCCCAACCACAACAGCAGCAGCAACCACTCCCCCAACAACAACTCCCTCCTCACCCTCCGACCACCACCTCCTCCTCCAAACTCCCCGCCCCTCAACCCGCCGCTCCCTCTCTCGCCCCCAAACCCACCCCGACCAGCGGCTTCCCCGTCGACCCAGCCGGCATCTACCAATATGGCTTCCCCGGTCCGGTAGCCGACACTCTCCTCTCGGCGCCCCTAGCCGGCGCCTACGACCGTCGCACACGCAACCCATCCTGGGTGGCCGAACACATCACCCCACAGTCTCTGGCGCAAAAGAACGCCGACCGCAAGGGCAGCACATTCTTCGAAGACACCACGATCCCGCCGCTATTCCGCGCCAAACTGTCCGACTACTTCCGCTCCGGCTACGACCGCGGCCACCAGGTGCCCGCCGCGGACGCCAAATGGTCGCAGGACGCCATGGACGCGACCTTCGCGCTGTCGAACATGTGTCCGCAGGTCGGCGAGGGGTTCAACCGCGACTACTGGGCCCACTTTGAGGAGTTTTGCCGTGACTTGACGAAGAAGTACCCCTCCGTGCGCGTGGTTACTGGTCCTCTTTACTTGCCGCACCGCGATCAGGATGGAAAGTGGCGTGTCTCGTATGAGGTTATTGGAAACCCACCGAATGTTGCTGTCCCGACCCACTTCTACAAGGTCGTGTATGCGGAGGAGGGCCCCGCTACGGCGGGTAAGGTTGCGCTGGGTGCGTTTGTGCTCCCTAATGCTAGGATCTCGAATGATAAGCGCTTGACGGAGTTTGAGGTGCCGCTTGAGGCTGTCGAGCGGGCTAGTGGTCTGGAGTTTGCGGCCAAGTTGGATGCTGGCCGCAGGAAGAGACTGTGTCAGGAGGTTAAGTGTGATGTTGTCGTGAGGGAGTTTAACAATGCCAGCAAGAAGAAATAGATCTGGTTTGGTGGTGTAGAGTGAGATATGGAGGGTTTGTGGATAGTGAGTTGGAAGGGAGGGGGTTTCCTTCATTTGTATTTTAGACTTATCATTATTCCCTTTGCATGGCCAGGGATATCCTTAGGTCGATTTCGGCTCTGTATAGATTGACATTGCATCTATATATGTATACATATTGATCGCACATGATGTGTTTTACCCGGGTCGTATAGATATAGATATAGATATATAGCCATAGCGCTGTCTAGGCAGTCTGTTGATAACCCAACTTCTGCGCCCCAGCGCGGCTTTTATCCACACACACTGAACCCAGCATCAAACCACTCACCAACTCCACGCCAATACTGACTTGTAAGCAGACCATATCAACACTGAAAGGCAACCCCCGACTTAGTTGCAACATTCCCGCCTCTCCCCGCAAACCCTGTCCCTTCGGAGCTCACCTCCACCAAGCCAGGCCGGATACCCTCCTTATCCTTCTTTTTCTTCTTCCCCGACGACGCGGAATCCTTGTTACTGTCATTTGACGGCGTAACATCCGTCTCGCAGACGTAGCATAGAATTCGCCCATGTAGGGCAGCGGTCTGCTCCTGTTCTTCTTTCGAGGCGTGTGGGTCCGGTGCATCGTGCGGAGTCATGAATTTGTTGACGCATGGTTGGCAAATGACATGGCCGCAGGGTTTCGTTACTGGATGTAGTAGAATTAGGTTAGTATTCGCGTTGAGGCAATATGCGGTGGGTAAGGCGGTAATCATACGCATTGCTTTGAGCCCGTTCGTCAGTGTTTTCTTGCAGCTTGGGCAGACACGGGCCGGGGAGCCATCGGAGGTCTTTTCTTCGGTGAAGTGCACCTCGACTAAGGATTTGAGGGAGTAGCTGTGGCGGTTGGAGTCGGTAGAAGCAGGGCAAATGGGTGTTAGTTTAATGGTTTTGTTGGCGGCGATTTCGTTCGGGTCGGTGGTGGGTGTGAGCGAGGGGACCCAAAAGGATGGGAGGGCTGATTTATTTGCTTCCTGGGGATGGTCAGTGAGCTTCTTACCAAGGGGGGTTTGACAATAGTAGTAGACCTTTTCTTTCTTCAACTCATCCCTCAGGCGTTCCTGCTCCTCGCGCGCAATTCTAGCCATCTCTTTATCATCCAACTCAAACACCTTCTTCCGCTTCCCGTCCACTTCTACCTCTCGCGCTTTGAAAGCAGCCAATGCTTCTGTAGTATCTGCTTTCCGTTTCTTGGAGCTCTCGTCATTCTGTGATTGGCTTGACCCGTTGTTTTTCTTCGCTGCTGCATCTAACCCCATGCTCACTAGTTCAAAATCACGGAGTTCCCGTGTTCGCGCTTCATCTAATGCCCGCTCCTCCTCTTCTGCAAGACGCTTTTTGGCTTCATCGCGTTCCTTTTCAAGGCGCTTAATCTCCTGTCGCTGGGCGAGAAGGTCGCTGATGGCGCATTCGCGACAGAAGAGATCTCCGTTGGTGGCGCAGGCGACGACGGGTTCCCGCGCCGGGTGTAGGCAGAGTCGACACGAGCCGAATGGGAGGAAAGAGTCGCGGCCGATGACGCCGCGTTTGGTGCCCCAGCTTGATTTGAGGAGATCGCGCTCGTAGGAGGTAAAGTGTGGAAGAGAGGTGTTGCGCTTAGAGTGCGCCATGGTGGTGATTCTCTGCGGGGGAGGTGGATTGGTTGATGTGAGGTTATGGATGGAGCATCGGCGAGGGAGAAGATATTGCGGAGTGGGGATCGGAGGTCGGAGGGTCGGTGCGGAGTAAGTTATGTGGGTAGATGAGGGGATGAAGCTTCCGGTAACACCAATTCAGATATTCAGCGAGTTAGATATGTGACAAGTCAAGCCAATGGCTAGCATAAAGCAAAACAAGATGGTCAAGAGGGGAGTTCAGTTGAAGGAAAGTTGAAGCTGGAGAAATCGTGGCCGACGCGATTATGTCATGCCGTCACATGCTATCCATCCATCCCACAGTTCCATCTCTTTCTCTTTCTTTGCTTGTCCAACTCGTTTCACAGAGGAGATACAACATAGAATTGAGACACCGATTGAATCTAACAGAGGAGGGACTTTATGTATCGTTAGCAGCCATGATAATCAAGAACAATCCAATTGAAACATGTGCGAAGGAGAGAGCAATGTCACAGTCCTGAATCCCCTCATTTGATGGGCTTGTGACAGCCACAGCAGAGATAACATTCACGCTTTCTCGGCCTTCCGTGGTTTTCTTTTTTCCTGGGATGCCCTTTGGTATGGGCGTTATGATAGGTTCGCCGCTATCATAGCGAGCACGTCAGTACTCATTATGCTTTGGGTCAAATCTGAGATGAGACACTCACCAGCATTCTGTCCCTCATATACTCTCCCACCAGGCCTGTCTCATTGAGGATGCTCCAACACACATCAAAGAAGTCCTTCTCTGGGTCGGTGCAGTCGGGGTTGCGGTTAGCTGGCCCTTTCCGTGGTTTCTCTGGCTTCTTGGGCCGTCTTTTTCTCGGGGCACTCTTTGCCTTAGCCAGAGCCGGATCGACCTCGATATCTTTGAACCCTGCACTTGCTGCCTTTTGAAACACCGCTTCTGCCTCCTCAAACCCTATTTCCATAGCCTCTAGGACCTCATCCCACCAGCTGCCAGCCATATCTTCTAGGGTCAAAGATTTCGTGGTTTCAACGATGCAGGCGGGCTCAGTGGCCCCAGTATCCTGCGCGTGTGGGCCGGCCACAGAAGCAGCTGGGAATTTGGAACTGGTAGAGTCTGCGTTGGTCATGTTGGAGGTTGACGCGTTTTCCCATACAGGTTGATCACATTCACTGCAGGTGTCAGATCCCCACGGACCTTCTTTGTTCTCTATTGTGGTCTTGTTTGCACCCATTTGCCCGTAATGTGTCGTAATCATGTCAAGCTCGTATGTTTCATCAGTGTCTTCTTCCTGTTGGTGCTCGGTATATCCGTGGTCACTAAAGTGAACCTCTTCTTCAGGATAGTCAAACATGCTCATAGGAAGGAAGACGCCGCCGTCATCGTTATCCACCTGGCTTCCAGGACCGTTGCTGAAGACTTTCTCACTTTCCTCTTCACAATAGTCTCCATATTCGGCCTCATACTCGTCATCTCGCTCAACCGTTTCTATCCAGGACTCGGAATCTCGTACGGGGCTATCGCTATAATCAACGGTTTCCCACGAGTTCGTCCCGTCATCAGAGACTTCGGGTCCAACAGCATACTCAGTCGAGTCATCCATGGCTTTCCCGTAGCCGGTCATTCCAGCTTCACGATCATCTGCAGTATGTCCCTCGAACTCTCCATCCTCACTATCAAGCGCAGCATCAAACATCGGAGGATCCGAAAGTATAACAACCGGGGGTTCTAAAATAGACTCAAGAGCTGCGCAAATCAGTTGATGACCTTTCCAACATCTCCAATGCTCCAGAAAGACCAAATGATTTGCTAGAACACTCACCTAACCGCTTCCTCACCTCAGGTGGCGGACATTCCCACCCTCTCCGCACTGAATCGACGTACTCATCCACAGCAAGACAAATTCCCCGGACCAGTAAGATGAACAAAACACTGACAATCCTACTCAACCAGCCAGTCCCCAAGTATGTGTCAAAACCTGCCAACAACAACGACAACGATAACAACCTGGTCAGCACGTAACGTAACCTCATACAAAGCAACCCACACTCGCACGTAGGACGCAAAAAGAAACGAATAAGAGGAATTAAAAAATGAAAGTAAAACCCACGTATCGCCAAACCCAGACACGACCTGCCAATCTTATAGCCATAATATCCCACCACGCAAACCCAGTACCCTGCGCAAACGGACCAAAGACTGATCGGATATACCAAAATGGCAACCACGAGCACCTTGGCTTTTATCATGGCGTGTCGGATGTTATTTCGAGGCCATTGTTTGAGTCGAGATGGCCGCGTGTAGAAGGAAGTCGTGTTTCTCGGTAGGAGAACTTTGAGTAGTAAGTGGTGATAGATAGTCTGGACGTAAGTACTAGGTAGGCAACTACTCATCCAGCACCACTACCAACACACAAAAACAATAGAAAAGGGTAGTAGCAACGATTCAAAATCCAATTTTCAAAAGTAAGAAAAAAAAAATCAACTTACAATGAAAAAGAAAACAAAACCAACGCAAAAGATACTACTACTACTACTACTACTACTACTACTACTACTACTACTACTACTACTACTACTACTACTACTACTACTACTACTACTACTACTACTACTACTACTACTACATCCACAGTGGAACGCAGTCACTCTCCAGCACCCACCAGACCCTTCTACAACCCAGACAGCTAGTAAATATGCATCCCTCCCTAGCCCTACCCCATCTAGACACAACAGATGATCAACAATCCACAGCACCCATCCCCTTCGACACAATTTTTTTTTGGGATTTTACACAGCTTTAAGGAGTCCAATAGTCGGGTTCCAAACCCTTGTTATGAATGAGACGAGAGGGTACTATACACCTTGCTTGCATTTGCATGTTCTTTCCATCATCCAATTCTAGAACCACTACTATCTTGCAGCTTTGCGATGGTATATAGCACAGATATACTATCAATGTACCTAACGTGCTATATTTCCCATTTCATGTAAGCGTTGAGTTGCGTTGAGGTCATGCTGGGTGAATGAATGATTAGTAGTGGATAGAATATATAGTACTATATTCAGCGTTGTTGGTATCACCAGGTGAAGGCAGGGATTAGGATAGTCAAGTATTTAGTACCTTGGCTCTACGGTGAATTGTTAACTTGACTAAGGTGCTGGTTAGGGCTGGGTTACCAAGATTCAACCTCTTTTCAATTTTGTAACAGTGAATGAGGTAGCTGAAGCTGTTGTTTCTGGTTCATTTGGTTAGTAGTTCTTATTATAGTTATGCATTGAATGCGTATTTAGTAGTTGTGCTAGAAGTATATATTGAGACATGTATCTCATACATCAATTTTACATACTATCAGAAAGCCCATGCTAGTCATGGTGCTACCGTGTACGAGGTATAACTAGAAGCCAGATCTATTTTGATCCTCAAGCTAGAAGCATCTTTCATAACTAGCTAGCTCCTACATACGAATCCAACAATTCTCCAATGCCATATCACGCCAAACATAATCGCCAGAGAGATCTCATGCACTGGTATCTCGAGTTCAACATGACAGAAGAAAAACAAAACAAGCAGTACCATGACATTTTTCCGCCCAAGTGCCTTACTCGAACACAATGCATAGAAATCCAGCCAGAGAACGACCCATCCGGAAGATCCAACAGAGACAAGAAAATAGTAAAGAAAAACTGAAAATGTGGTATCAAGGTCGTAACGGCGCCGGACTCGGTCTATTTGCGGAGTCCGCGCGCAGAAAAATCTATCAAGTTGAACCGGGGGACACAAAAGGAGAAGATGGGTAACGTCAGAGCTCTAAAGCATATAAGAGGTAATAGTAATACGAGACGGTAGAGAAAGGCAAGATGCAATGAAATGGATTCAAAATGAAAGATGATGTGGGGTATAAAATAAGTCAGTCGTAAGATAATGAGAACGAAGAAGATTTTAGACGGGTCTTGACAAGGGTGAGTTGAGAAGATATTTTTTTCTTGGTTTCCCTTGAAATTATCCGCTCTTTTTATGCGTTGACAGCTTGCTCGGGTGTGGCAGTAAGTTTTTTGGGCGTGGTCTCGTCGACGGCATTGCTATCTTCGTTCAAAGAGGATTGGTCGGGATCGGCGGTGACGAAGGAGTTTTCAGTGTGTTTGGAGCTCGACTCGAAACCATCGTCGCTTTTGGCCTTCTGGACCTGGCTATAGAGATTTTCTGACTCTTCGACGAAATGCGCACTATTTCTGGTGCCTGGACTCAAACTACGCAGGGAGTGCGGTTGGCCGGGGTGCAATGACCCTGAGGTGATCGAGTCCGCACTACTGGTGATAGCTGGATCGGACATTCTCGGCTCTTCCGATGGAGTGGGCTTCCGAAGTTTGAGCCGTTCCTCGGGGGGCATATTCTGCCACTCGCTTCCAAAGGTGATAATTGAAGCCTTTTTGCCATGAACAGTAAAGCTAGCAGACTTGCGCGACAAGCCTTCGCCTTCACGCGCTCCTTGGCCGTCCTCGTGCGCGCCTGCGGCGGAAGCCGGGTCGCGAGGTTTCTTGCTGCGAGGGAGATGACCGTGGTGCACACCAGGCGCATCCCGGAGAGTCCGGTGAAGACTGCGGCGTATCCGACTGGAACGGTCCATTTGAGTTGTCTCTTGGGTGTCGATCTGCTTCTGATCAATATCGCCTTCCTTGATGACAAGGGATTGTCTCTTGGTCTGAGGAGAGGTGTTCACCTCCAGCAAACCCGCCTCGCGAAGCACGCGCTCTTCGCCATCGTCAAAGCTTCCGGGGGAAGTGATTTTGGAGGCACGTGAAGCCAAACTGGAGACATCTAGCTTGCTGGCAGCACTGAGCACAGAGGCTTCCCGGGTCAGTCGGTTTGACGGCTCGGGAGAAGAAGACTTTGTACGCTCCTTGAGATCTTCTACCGAGAGTCGTCTACCAATCCGAGAAGCGGCCTCGGATGACGCGAAGGATGCAGGAATGCTCGGTCTGCGCAAGTCTTCTGCCGCAGGCTGTGGTGCCGGTGGTTCGCAGATGGATGGAGGCTTAATAGACTCAGGGTGCGGCGAAGGCGGCGCCATCTCTTTGATCGGTGATGCTAGTTTCTCTGGCACTGCTTCATCCTCCGTTTCCTTGGACTCGGGGGAGGTGGTATCCGCAGGA